CCCGCTGCTGCCGGCTGGCTGACGTCCATGGGATGGCTCCGTCCTTGCGAGGTGGCCGCGCTCCGCCGGGGCTGGCTCTGCACCACCATCGAGGGTACGTTGCAGAGCAGCATTTGGGGGTGTCTTCTCTGTTTTCGGGTCCCCCTCCCGTGCCCAGGCGGGGTGCAAGGAGAGGGGAAGCAGCCGAGCTACCCCCGTGCCCAGTTAGCTGTCCGGCTGGGGAATTAATGAGAGCCTTTCAGTGCAAATGAGCTCGTTAATATTAATTCCCCTCTCCTCGCTGTTCCCCTTCGTGGGCACTGCAGGGGGGGTGGGTGCTGCCACGCGCCCCTCTGCACCCAGGGGCACCCAAGGGCACCCAGGGGCACCCATGGCGCTGCGAGGGGCATCGCCATCCCCAGCACGGGCCCTGCGAGGTGCCGTGGGGCTCAGCCAGGCTGTGACGCCCAATTTTCCAGGCTCGTTAGCGGCGATGCTGATGGGCCGTGATGGCAAGGAAGGGCCACGAGTAGCCCCAGTAGATGGTGTGGGTGAGGACAGGGACGCACACAGAGCCTGACCCTTTCCCTCCCAGGGTGGCGGTGTGGTGGTGACACACTCCCTCTGCCCTGTCCCCGGGGATGATGCCAAGAACACCGTGGGTCCCCCCACCGCATCCCTCTGTTTGGATGTTTTTGGTCGAGGGGGATGCTCGGGTACCCTTGTGCAGCCGCGGGATGCGGCGCAGGACCGCCCGCCCAGGGCTGCCACCCGTCCCTCCCTGGGGACACCTCGGGGACAGCTGGAGCGCCGTGGTTTGCCGCGGCTGTTCTCAGATGCCAGGGACAAAGTGATTAGTGTCTCTCGTTAATAACCCTGCAGCGGCCTGAGTCAGCGTTTGGTGTTAGTGCAGAGCTGGCTTGGCTGCCGGGGCCCCGGCGCAGCGCGGGGACGAGTGAGGGAGGCTCGTGATGGGATGGAGGCACCGGGCATGAACCCCAGCATCACCAGCGGCAACGCTGGCACTGGTGTGGGAGGTTGGCAGGGAGGTGGCCCAAAGGCTGGGGCAGTGGAGGGGGGATGGCAACATCACGGTCATCATCTTTTACCCCTTCTTGGTGTCCATTCCTCTGCCAAGCACTGCTGAGCGGGCAGGAAGGAGAGAGGAGGGCATGGAGGGTGGTGGCAGGGTCCACGCGGGGGGACCTGCTCTCCTCCAGGCCCTGATGACCATACCCGTGCCACCCTTCCTTCTGAGTGGCTCCTACAGCCACATGTCGCTCCGGAAGGTATGGGGGTCCTCAGCAGGTCCCTGGGGAGCCCACGCTCCAGCCACGGCAGCCCTGACCATGACTTTGCCAATCCAGGTACTCCGAAGAGGAGATCCGGCAGAAAGTGGGGACTTTTCGGCAAATGCTGATGGAGAAGGAAGGCGTGCTCACCAGGGAGGACCAGCATGGGCGCCAAATGTAAGTGAGACAGCTCTGAGTTGGCCCGTCTGTGTGTCCTGCCCATGTCTCACCCCAGAGAAGCACTTCCCAGATTGCCCGTGAGTGTCGATGGATGGATTGATTGATACGGAGAAGTATATATAGGGATGGTTGGATAGATGGATGGACATAGAGAAGATATGTAGGGTTGGATGGATGATTGGTTGGTTGGTGAGATGATTGGTTGGATGGTTGGTTGATTTGGTGGTTGGTTGGTTAATTTGATGGTTGGTTGGTTGGTTGGTTGGTTGATCAGTTGGTTGGAGGCAGGGTTTGCCTCTCTCAGGCAGTACCCTCTCTCTGGAGAGGTTGGAGGTTATCTTGCACTGGTCTTTTGGAGATGTCAGGGTGCTGTACAGAGAGGCCAGTACTGCAACGCTCCTGTCCCGGATGACGAAAACAAAGTGCAGAAAATGTTGATGCGTGGCTCACCTCACCAGCCAGTGGCAGAGACCAAGCTGCAGGTTTGCTGTGCCTCACCTCTGCCTGCTCCTGCCTCTTTGGGTCACATCTCCTGCTCTCCTGGGGGCTGAAATCACACCTTCTGCCTCCAGCCAGGCAAAGGCACTGCTTTCCAGTCCTTGCTCTCAACTCCTGTCCCCGGGTGTGAAGCTGGGGTAGCTCTGCTGGCCATGTTTCGGCAGGTTGGCTGCTGTTCTGTAACGCTAGAAATACTAGTGTTAGCAATAGTAAATAATAATAATAATAATAATAATAATAATAATAATAATAATAATAATGATAATATAATTTCTGTTGCAAGGGGCCCAGGCTGGATAGGCAGGGCTTGAGCCTACATCTCACCTGGGTAGACCCAGAACCTGTGTCTCCGTCAGGCTGGTGTGACACCAAGGAACCCCACGGAAGAAGCTTCTCCGAGGAGCTCCTGCCCCGTGCCTCTGCCTCCGAATTGCTCCTCAATGCTGTCTGGTCCCTGGGGGCTGCTTCTGCTTGGGGTGGGGGGGGCTTGGGGCTCAGGTTAGGTATCCAAAGCAGCCCAGCTCCTGCTGGGGACGTGCCACTCGTTCCTCCTGCCCCATGCGGGACTGTCCCCAGCCTCGCGAGGGTCCGCCCTGGTTCGATGATGATTTATCTGTGCGATGCTTAATGGCCCAAGCAGCATGGCTGGCCCGGCGCGCACCATCCATCAGCCTGGAAACCAGGTCACTTGGGACAGGAATAGATGCTGCAGGTTCACTGAATATTAATGCTTCATTAGGGTCAGGAAATAGGGCAAGGGGGGAGGCAGGGAAGCCGCGGCAGCAGGGAGAACCTTCCTCCCACCGCTCTGCTGGCACGCCGGGCACGGAGGGACACATCTCGGCTGTGCCCAGCCCGGGATGGGGCACATGGCCCTGGGGCAGCACAAAGCATCCAGGGTCCTCCCCCAGGCAGGAAAAACCAAAGCATGGGGCAAACCAACCTGCCCAGGTCACCCGGGTGGCTGAGCATCGAGCCAGAGTGTTAACAAGTGGCCTTTGCCCATGGGGGCACGAGTCATCTCCAGGGCATCTTCTCGGGCAGGCTCGTTAGGGCTGGCGCTGTAACGAGCACATAGGGAAGCTGAAGGTGCATTAAGGTTAGCCCGGCAGCCCTAGCTGTCACCTTTGTGGGCTTGCTTTTGCAAAATGAAGGGTAATCATTAAAGATTAGCCCTGGGGCTATAAATAATAGTGCTGAGCTGGAAGGAGCAGTCTCAGGGCGACGGATTGCTTGGGGGAGAGCAAAGCCGGAGGTGCTCGGAGGAGGTTGGTAGGAGCTGCATCCAAAGGAGATGGCTCCTCAAGCAGCGGGGACCTGAGCTGCAGAAGTCCCTGCCATGTGCAAAAGGTCTGCGCTGGTTGAAGAGGCTGGACAAGGGAGTTAAATAAAGTTTAATTAAAGAGCTACAGCCCTTGCAGTGGCTGGGAGAGTATTCGGCAAAACATCTCATGGGCTGGTCCTGCTCCAGCGCCTCTCTGGATATTTACAGCTCGGTCTTTGGCTGCCGGGGCTATAAGTCTGAACCAGCTGGTCTCATTTCAAAGCGGATACGAAAGCTCAGCATCGTCTGCAAAACTCCCCAGGGGAAACTGAGGCACCGAGCAGAGCCGGGACCACCTGAGTCCCGGGCTTGCTCTCTGTGCTCTTCCAGCTCCCGTCTCTGTGCGTGCACGGCCCGGTCCCCAAGGAGTAATTGCTTGATGGACAGGCTGGTGGGGCTGAAAACAAACGAACGTGAGCCTGTGCTGGGTGGGAAGGGATAATTGGGGCAGCACAAGCCCGTCGTGAGCCGCTGAGCACAGCTAATGGGTGAGATGCTGGCAGCCGGCTCTGGCATGGAGCGCTGCCTGCTCCTGGAACGGAGAGTCCAACAGGGAATTATCCCTGCTCGCTCCTCTCTTTTCCTCTTTTCTCCCCCTTCCCATGGTTGGGTGGGTGGTTGAAAGGCCGTTCCTGCCCTTGGGGCACGGCCAAGGCGGGAGTCGCTTGGAGAGGACCCAGAAAGCCACGGCTGCGACACAGAAGGGAGCCTGAGATGCGCTTGAGCGATCATCCGTGGTCGGGAGGAGGATGCTTCGCTTGTAGTTTTGGTCCAAACCATTTTTAATTGGGTTAAACAACCCGGGGCCTGCCTGTGGCCAGGGATGGCGACACGTGCCGCTCTCGGATCTGCTGTCTGGGGCCGGGAGCATCACTGCGCTCCGCCAAAGGCACTGGCAGGGCTGCCGAGGAACTGGTGCCGCAGGGGCTGCCCTCCACCAGCATCCCTGGCCACACACCTCCAGGCTGGGAAGGGGGAAGGAGCCCACGTGGGTTTCCGAGGGCAAATCTCCCTTAAGAAGCAGTTCCCAGGCTGGTGTGACACCGGGCACCCTCCAGGCACATCCCCGTCCCTTACGGTTCCCTCCAGAGCACCTGGATGGTCGTGTCCCTCCCGGAGTGAGGTGTTCTTCATCCCCCGAGAACAAACGAGAGGCTCCTGGGGGGGGGGAATTTGATGCTGCTCCTGGGACTGATGGCAGAGGAGGTCCAGGGATGTGGGGGATAGCGGGGAGAGGTTGGGCAGGGACTCCTGAGTCCCTCCTGCCTGCCCGGTCCACCTGCCAGGGCCCCGCTCACATTTTTGATGAAGTCACTCAGGAGGGAGAGGAGACACTGATGGCTCCAGGCCTGATGTCCCCCCACCCCATCTCACCTGGTATGGTGGGGGGACATCACCCATCACCTGCCTGAAGCTCCAGCGCTGAGCCGGCAGCACGCTGGGGCGCCGGCCTCAAAGGCCGGATCATCCCAGGCAGCTCCCACCAGCGGGCGGATAATCCCCTGAATCCCCCAAGCCTCCTGCCAGCTCCTCTCCCCCTAATCCGGCCCCACCGCCTACCTGGGCTGACCCCAGCCCCACGCTCAGCCCTGGCGCTTGGACAATGCCAAAAGAGGTTCCCAATAACGCTGAGGCTGGATGCTGCGGGGAGATGGTGGCCCGAGCCCCGGCGTGTCCCTGTGCCAGCCTGGCGGGGATTTACGGCGGGGACAGGAGGGCCCCGACGACGC